TTTCAATAATCAATTTTGAAGAAGATACATGAAATTTTACTCTTAAGAGCTGAAAAAGGAGTGAGCCTACATCCTTATCATACAGAAGAAAAGCTAGCAGCAATATGTATGCTGGGGACTGGGGAATAATATAAGTGAAGTGCTTGGAGCATCATTTAGCCAACCATATATGCTTTTAAACCATTATTAATTCGATTCTAAAAGTCAAGAGAACTTTTTCCAATACGTTCACTTCATCACTTGAATTGCAAGACTAACATGATACACATAGCTTTCAGGAAAAGCAGGCCTAATCTTACTGCTGGAATCCTGTCTCGCCTTTTTCTTAGTGCATTGATCGGGTTAGTATTTAATCTTACTTAGCGTATCTGTCACTGTTATTAGTTATATTATCATGCATATATAGTCAATTCTGTGATGCATGACACAGCATCCTTATGAATTGAAGCAATGAATTTGACATAATATAGGGCAACATTCACACAATATTTCTTTCTTCTTGGAATGCAATATACATCAGCAACGTTTGCCTGCGCCTTCGTCAATGTAGTTCCTGTGCTCACATTCATGATGGCTTTGCCTTTTGGGTATGTTTAGATATTGTCGATAATTTTAAGGGTTGGAAACTTTAAGTATATGCCTATATGGTATTAATATGCCCTTGTTCCTGTTCAATACTACTGTTAGGTTGGAAACTGTGGACATTAAGAGTAAAGCAGGAAGAGCAAAGATCTTAGGTACTATAGTATGTGTTGGTGGTGCAATGTTACTGACGCTTTACAGAGGAATACCATTAACCAACCAATCACATTCCAGATCAGGAACCAACTTGAGTTTGAATAGGCCACATTCAATAAATAAGATAAGGACTCAAAGATGGACAATCGGCTCAATAGCTTTGATCGCAGGTGCACTCTTTTGGTCTTCTTGGTTCCTTATTCAGGCAAAGATCAGCAAAAGATTTCCCTGTCAATATTCTAGCACTGCTATCATGAACTTCTTCAGTGCTCTGCAGTCAGCTATTTTGCGCTTAATCATAAACCGGGATATTTCTGTTTGGATTTTGAAAGGGAAAAGTGAGATCTTAACTGTCTTATATGCTGTAAGTAGTCCTTTGTCTAAGGATAGATAAATAGAATTTCCTAGTATTGCTATTTGCTATATATTATTCACACTGAACTTGTTAAACGGAGCATGAAAACTCATACCCAAGGCTTCTATGGATGCAGGGAATGGTGGGTTCAGGTTTGTGCTTTGTGGGCATGTCATGGTGTGTAAAGAAAAAGGGACCCCTCTTCACAGCAGCATTTAGCCCCCTTATTCAGATAATTGTAGCTATGTTTGACTTCACCATTTTACATGAACAACTCCATCTTGGAAGGTATCAGACGATTTAATTAACTTGTCTGTCGAATAACAACTTTGCAATTGATTTTAGATATTCACATATATATATACCATTTTATTGGCCTAACACACTGCATTGGCACGGGTAAATGAGCAGCGTCTTGGGATCAATCCTGGTAATTATTGGCCTTTACATTCTCTTATGGGGTAAAAGCAAAGAGGCTAAGGATTGTGTTGTTAAATCCATTCAAGCAACCATCGAGGAAGGTGATCAAGAGCTATCATCATAGCAAAGCAAATGAACCCATTATTCGCGTTTGTAATGTTAGATTCAAGGGACTTGCTAATCTCCTAGCCTATACAAATTTTTCCCTAGCTAGCTAGTGATGAATGATGATTTTGTTGTTGGATTATATATAGATTATTATGGTTCTCATTGTCTCATTGCGTTGCAGACTAGCTTTGTAGTAGTGTTGTAGCACAAGTTGAAGAACAAATAAAACAACAATCTTCCAGTAGACCAACTAGCTAGCCGGTCTTCTGCATTGGTTAAAACTAAGTGTGTGATTCTTAACAATGCTTAAAAGTCAGAACAATATTATTTTGGGTGATTTAGGTTTTGGCCATCGAAAGTTAATACTAATTAGGTTTTGGAGCTATTTTCTTTTAAATTTAGGTTTTAACCATCAATTTTGAATCAGATTTTTTTCATAAATACTTGAATTACCCCCTAAAAAGATATTCAAACCCTAATTAGTACTAACTTCCGATGACCAAAACATAAACACGTGACAAAATTAAAATCAAATATAAAATTTAACAAACAGTTCAAACGGACCCTGATAATGAATTAGTGATTCACAAAGCATTAGTCAACTAGCCTATTGGAAGATAAAAACAGATAGGTTTCGCGCTCCCTCCTATTGGTCCATCAAATAATGTTGTAGTTTGCAATTGATTCAAACCGGCCATACCAAACATATAAATGAGCTGCTCCAGTCTCTATTCCATTAACTTAAGTCTCTATTACATAAAATCGGGAGCGCCCAACCCAAGGATGAAAATGCCGAATTTTGGCGAATGG